ATTCCTCATTCTTTATTATAGAATTTGGCCATTTGTTTGACAAGTGCCATGGTGTGTGCCTGTAATCTCAGCCACTCAGGAAGCTGAGGCAAAAGGATTGCAAGTCTGAGGCCAGCTTGGGCAGCTTAGTGAGAGCTTTCTTCAAAAAAGGGGCTGGGGACCAGGGAAGTAGTTTAGAGGTAGAGCACCCCTGGGTTCAATCCCCAGTAACAGAAAATAAAAAGGATTTGACTATTATCTGCTTTATATTTCCATACAAACATTAGAAGCTGAGTGTGGTGGCACACACTGTAATCCCACTCAAGAGGGTGAGGCAGGAGGGTTACTGAGAGTTTGAGGCCAGCCTGGGACACAGAATGAGTTGTTTTGTTTTTTTTTAAACATTTATTTATTTAGAGTGTGTGTGTGTGTGTGTGTGTGTGTGTATGTGGCCAGCTCAGCCCACCTGGAGGTGGGGCTGGCTGGCATGTGGTGCTGGGGGATCGAACTGCGGTCCCTGTGCTTTGCCAAGCTTGTTCCAAGTAGGTGCTTTAGACCACTGAGCCATCTCATCAGCCCCCTACAGAATGAGTTTAAGGCCAGCCTGAACTACATAGTAAGATCCTCTCTCAAAAAAACAAAAATAAAAACAACAGAAGAAACTCTTTACAACTAATCTCTATCATATTGAAGTATTCACAAATATACTTCATATAGACCATGGAATAACTTAATATATCCCCATGCAATATTTTTATATATTCTCTGACAATTAGACTTTAGTGCAGTGTTCATATTGTTTCTGAAGAATGCTGAGGAAATTCTGCCACTTTCTAATTCTTGGAGCTTCTGTTGCGAGTGCTCTGATCATCCTCTATCTAATCAGGTAGTCTCCAATGAAGGGGATGATTGGTTTGTACTTAATAAATTAAATTATATCGAGGTTTACTTTCTTGAGATTCTACTAACTTCTCCCTAGATTGGCATTTAGGGAGTTCTGCCCAAGGTCAGTCATTTTTTCCTGCACAGCTCTTGGTTTATTCCATAAATAGCTAAGTACACTACATTCATTTGTTGTGGAATCTACTGATGGCTGATACCTATGTCAGTTGGCTTTTTGTCACTGTGGCAGAACACCTACCATAAAGAACTAAAAAGAGGAAAGGGAATTTTGGTTCACAGTTCCACAAGTTTCAGTCCATGGTCTGCTGGCTCCATTGCTTTTAGTCTTGTAGCAAGGCAGAGTCACACCACGAGGGTGGGGCACAGGAAAGTATCTCACGCCATGGCAGCAGGAAGCAGAATGAGGGAAAAGAGCCTCTTTGGCTATTTACCTCATCCTCTTCAGAGTGGCGCCAGGTATTTCTGTGACCCGTAACAATTTATCATCACAACTACTGTCTGTCATAAGAAATAATCTCAATTTGCTCTGGACACTGGCAAGCTGCTTATTGCCTTCTAGGAGTTCCTCTAGCTCCAAGTGACATTCAATCATATACTTTTGTGCTGGTGTGAGCCAATACTGAAAACAGCCAAAGAGGAAAGGGTGAGAAGCCAGACATAATGCCCCCAGTTCACACCACTTTCTTCAAGTAGGCCCCACCTCTATTTGCATCATCTCCCAATACTGCCATCAAATTGTGCTGTCATCAGTGGATTCATCCGAGACCCTCACAGTCCAATCACCTCTGCAGGCCTCACCTTTGAATGCTGCTGTGTGGGGACCAAGTGGCAATACATGTGTCTTTTGGGGATGCTTCATATTTAAACCATGGCCTCTTAACAGCCATTTCTTCTCCTGTGCTAACAGAACACCGATTTTGTTCAGGTGAGGAATGACTGAGGGTAGGGAAGGTAAGCTTAGGGCAGCGATGGTGAACCCTTTAGTTTGTTTTCATTGAGAACATACAGCTAGCTACAGCATGTGTGTCCTAGACTCACCACCACTGATTTAGGGGCTTAATTTTGTTTTATCCAAATCAATCATGGTAATTCTATTCCCTTTTGTCAGTGACTGAATTAGAGGTAAGGGGAGATATAGAGATAGCTATCTATTTTACAATGAAATATAAAAATAAATTTGTTGAGGATTTTTCTAGGGCAGGTTTTTTCCCTTGATAAGATGAAGCATGCAAGGTAAACCTTTTCCTCCTTCTATAATGGTTGTGAGAGAGTGATACCTGCAGCTGTGACAGTTATCACATGACCACAGAAGGTACCTTAGGGTGAAAGCCAGCCTGCTGAGGGTCAGAGAGCAAAAGGAAGGAAAGATTCAGGGTCCTTAATGATGTGGGGCCACATCAGGTTTATGGCATGAGATAATATGTTTGTATTATGTAATTCAGTTTTAGTTGGATATTAATTGCTGCCAAGCCTCCCAACTGATACCTAATCCTCAGACCTGTAGGTTCATTCAGGCTTTCAAGAGCTAATTCCTAAATTTTCAAAAATTTTGGGAGCTAGTTGACAATACAGTACCTTGAAATCAGCCATAGTGGCAATACAGCCCCAGCAATCAACTACTACAAATTGGGTGCTCCCCAACGGTCAGTTAACACCTACCAGTCACAAAACTGGTTAACTTTTGTTTTTATTAAATGAAAAATGCTCCTGGAAGGCCATGCTTCTTCAGAGTGTCATTGGTAATTTTAGATTTGTAGGGATAACCCATTCTCGCTTTAATGGATAACATGTAGATAGTGAACTTTAGCTTTGTGTTTGTGTCCCCCCCACACCCCCTGCAGCATATGATGGGACATTAGTTTGTGCTGCGTGTGTGTCTCACTGGGCGCTCTTCTACTGTCTAAATGAGTCAGCATCTCTTGCGCTCCAAGATGTGGTTTCATACACTAATCTGTGTGCTTCTGATCTGTATCCAAGGCCCCTTCACCCCACCTTGCCTGGGCTCCTTCCTAATAGCCTGCTCTAGGAAGAGAAATGATTTACTATAATTTAGCTTCAAAGCATTTTCTTGCCTATTCCTAGGTAGAATTCTTACTCTGCCTGCTTGAAAATACCCATGGGCACACAGGTTTCTTTTTTGACCTGAGCAGGTAGATAATATGACAAAATTTTTGCTACTCTAACAAAAGAGGTGTTAGAGTTCACATCCATCTTCTGCTTGGCTCCTCTATGAACTTCTTCTTCGGGAAGCTTTGTCTTTTTCTTCTGGCTTTCCTTCTTCCTGGCTTGATTCTCTTCTTCCGAAGTGGCAGTGGGGATTTAATGGGGGTCATTTTAGCTGGAAAGGGGTGTTTTTTTTTTAACCTTGTACCTTCTTTTCCTGTAGCACTGACAGATGTGATCTTTATTCCACCGAACTGTTAAAGGCCTCAACTTGGTTTGGCCTGGGGATGGCCTTTGGCCCATCTGGTTCTGGGCTACACTGGCCCACTTTACTTAAGCAGAAGAGCTGTGTCCAGCCCACTCAGTTCCATGCTCGACAGCTTATTTACCTCATCCTCTTCAGAGTGGCACCAGGTATTTCTGTGACCCATAACAATTTACCATCACAACTACTGTCTGTCATAAAAAATAATCTCAATTTGCTATGGATACTGGCAAGCTACTTACTGCTTTCTTGGAGTTCCTCTAGCTCCGAGTGACATTCAGTCATATACTTTTGTGCTGGTGCTAGCCAATACTGAAAGCAGTGGCATGTGAACACTGATTTATATATATCATTTACTGATTTCTACAGTGTAAGTACTCCTATACCATTGCTGACTAAAGCTACCAACCTATCATCACTGAACATGGAAGTGAGATGTACATAATTGACCCTCCTGTTAAGAATCCAGAAAAAGCTAGCTGCAAAATACCATTGTTTTCCATTTTTTTCAGAAAGGTGGAGGTTAATGATGTCAGCCATATGCCCTTGCTATATGCCCACTTCCTTATGGATATTAGTCAAGCAGCTATACTTGTAATCCTACAGGTTCACTGTAGTTCAACATACATTATACCCACATTGTGATTTTGTTGTATAAATTACTCCTGACAAAGAGCCTCAGTGGCAGTCTACTCGGGACCATTTCTCTCAGGAGCTATTCTTTAGAATTTCCTGATTAACCTTTCCTACTCTTAAAAAAAAAAGAGGTTTATCTCCTGGCTAGATGAAAGAATTAAGCAAGGTACCTCTTTGGGCAAATTACAAAAGCTACTTCCTCTAGGCACCACACTCACACCTTGAGGAGCAGGGGGCACGTACCTCTTCCTTCACACACCATTTGCTGAGGGGAATGTGAATTTCATTTGAGGCCCACTTAACGTCCTTAAGTGGTTGCTTTTCTGCAGTGCAAAATCAGCACAGTCTTACACGACAGTCCTGGCTATGATTCATGACCACGCTGTAGTTAAGTAAGATGGATGAAATAGAGGAAAAGACCCCACTTACATAGCAGCCTGGAAACCTTCCTTATGCAGATAATTTCAGATAACTACTGCCAGTGGGGACATTCGTTGTTCTTAAAATTAGCCTAATTAGGGGCTGGGGAGATAGCTCAGTAGAATAAGTGCTTGCCTGGCAAGCGCAAGGGCCTTAGTTCAATCCCTGGTCCAGCAAAAAAAAAAGATTAGCCTAATTAACAGGCTATTATTCTTAAAAAGAGCCTTTAACTGTACCATTTCAAGGATACGCATAATAATATAGCTAAAAAAAACCAGGGCAACTGTGGTACTTGCAACATGCCATAGAGTCCCATTCATTAAATGAATGTATTTATCTCTAATGACTTAAACCCTCATTATAGTGTACCATAAGCATAATGCAAATATTTAAATTTAATGTAGTTTAGTACTATTTAGCAAGTAATTTCTCATAACTACTTTATAGCTTACCAATTACTCTATGAAAGTTATTCTCTCCCTTTATTAATGATAAAGAAACAAGATTAAAATAATTTAAGGTGACTCAGAAAATGGACCCAGACCCAATTCTTCGGTCTATACTTATCCCCCTTTCAACTAGTGTAGGCTTATACATATATATTTCAGAATTGTAAAACAGACAATTTGAGATATCTGTTAAAGACATTTTATTTTTCATAAAAATATAATTGTACAATGCTCCTTAAGAGAAAGAAAAATTCTTTCAGTGCCCCCCAAATACCATGTGGTTTAATAATCCTCCTTTTAAAAAAGCAAAATATGTAATTACAAATATGCAACTGATTTCTTGTGAAATACAGAATTCGTTTTTTAAAGTTTTATTTTTTCCTTTAACTAAAGATAAATTCAATTTAAACTTTTACTTTCTGTAATTAACCAAATCAGAGTTACCAGAATTCAATGATGATAAAATAAAATGCTAAATGGTGGTGCTAAGTCCCATCAATTAGCTGGCAAACAGTAATATGAATTTGCTGCAGGAAGAAAGTTCTGATTTAGAAATAGCAGAAAGATTTTAGATAAAATAGAAAAACATTTAAGAACTTCAATTATATCCTAAAACTTACCCAGTCAAATTTATTACATTCAGTTTTTCTAAAACATGGGAAGTTGATGCTAAAATACTAACAAAATTTGAATGATTTAAATACACAAACGTACTTCCCTCCTTTCTTTCTTTGGGAAAAAAAGGAAGTGAAAACATGACTCAGAGGGTAGCCCCTTGCTTCCCTCAGCCGCCTTGCTGTCGTCACTGCTAGGTGCTAAGCAAGGGGCTTCAGTGTGCTGCATTTTCACTGCGAGGAGAGGGAGGCACAAGCTATTTTAGAGATATTCATTAACACGCTTCAAAGTGGCCAAAGAGGAGGTGAGGAAGTAGCTCAGTAGAATAAGCAATTGCCTGGCAAATGCAAGGGCCTGAGTTCAATCCCCAGTTCCCCAAAAAACAAAGAAAAAAACAAAGAAAAAAACCACAAAAAAACAAAAACAAAGCGGCCAAAGGCCAAAGAGTTTTGTCAGTACCTAAAGCAATCAACATTCCTTATAAAGACCAGGGAACATTCTCTTGGTTTGATGTACTCCAAGACAATACCAGGTAGGTTCAGGAATAAACTCAAATAAATTGTAACTTATTTTCTCCTAAAATTGCATATCCTCTACCTGGGAACAAAGTCACTGCTCGTGCAAGGACACTAGGGGAGAGGGAAGAAGCTGAAATGACTCTGTAACTTAGAATTACAACCAGGGTAGAAACCCTTCAAGCACAATGGAGACGTTCCATTGAAGAGCACATGCATTTGGAATGTTTTTTGCAAAGAACTCTTCTGGGGAATTCAAAAGGTACTGAAGCAAAGCAACATAATGTCAGTCTTGGGTTGTTTTGCAAAATAAAAATACACAACTGAGTAGACTAGGGGGCAAAAACATGCCCAATTACAATCCAGACAGCTACACTTAAAACATTTAAATTCTGAATGCCTGAATATCAATAATTATGGTCCTAAGAAGATATTAATTAAATACCCTTAAACTCCCAATCTTCCAAAATGCAGAGAAAATGAACATGTGGAGCTAGTGGTATATTAGAAGTCATACTCTAATATACTTAGAAGCCTGCAGATCTGAGTTGGCAGCTGACATGTGAGGACTTCAGGAACTTAGGCTAAGAGGAGGCACCTAATTCAAAGGCGTGGCCTATGAGAAGGGCAGACGTTCTAATCTTGAGCTGTGTGGTCCATTTCATGTTCCACCTCACGGAGAAGCTATACTACAGTGCCTCCTCTTAAACTGCCAGTCTCTAACAAAATATATTTTATTTAAAAGCCAAATATTTGCTCCATTAGAGTGAAGAACAATTATAATTTAGCAGCAACAGAGAACACAACTCCTGGTTTATCTATGGGAGAGGGAAGAGAGAGTGACAAAGTGTCTTACTGGGGAAATGAAAACATGCCCAGGTCCATCTGTCTGTATCATATGAACTTGGTTTGTTCCTCAACCATCAGTCTGCTTGGTGGTCAGGTAGACGGCAAGTGCAGCTGTGATGGAAACTGCAAAGCACTGCTCCACCCTTCTGCACGTCCCTGAGGCCTGCTGGCTGCAGCGTTGCGCACAACTGCAGAGCCAATGCCTGGCCGCACAGCGGAGGCACAGGCTGAAGCAGATGCACAACCACAGTGTGCTTCTTTCTGGTTTAGGACACAGTCGTAAGGACACCCACGCCAGGGAAGACAGCAAGTATCTGCTAATGGCTAAAGCCACTAGATGTGTCCATTGCTTTGTCCCTTTGTTTTGCTCTAGATCTCAAGGCAGAAACAATCTCAGCAGCTAGTTTCATCCTATTTTCTTCAGGAAAATTCTCCAATCTAGTAGAGCACACAAGAAAATGTGTGTGAACATTCACTCCTGTCCTCCCCACATATATACATAAATACACAATAGAAACACATATACATACACACATGCTCTAGACCGTCAATGCAGTGTATGCTGCTGAAATGCCTGAAAGGTTACTTCTTGCTTAAAAACAAAATTTGTGTAATTATTCTCCAAGTCTGGATTTGGCCCTAGCAAACTTTTATAAATATAGTTTAATAATAAAACAGCAATAAAAGTTTTACATAGAAGCTGTCTGGAGGGATTTCTTGGTGGATTTTGGTAAGATAACATGTATATTGTTTAAAACAGGCATTTTATTATGGACTAAAAAAATAGAAATGTACATATTTGTTAATACATATTCACAGCTTATGCTGGAATGGCTCACAGGAGAAATCATGGTTCAGGCAGAAAAGAAACATTACTCAAGTAAATACAAAGGAAATAATATTAGGTCCGTGAAGGCTGAGAATTTAAAGTCAGTCATCAGCCCATTTGGTTTTTCTCTAGGGCAATCGAAAACATGAAAGGAGACACCTAAACACATAGACACATACAGTGACATGAATTACATGTTAAGAATATAAATTAACCAATAAAGTTATATGAAGTTAAGGTGCAAAAATACAATCTTTCCCCACTTTTCTCTATTGCTACTGTGCTTTCAAGCCTCACCACATGTTATATGTCATGGATAGTAATACAGAACAGGTCTGAGTGTAAAGTTCCTAAGTGCCGAAAGGTAAAGCAAGGTCTTCTCGACCTGGGATCACACGTTCTGGCAGAAACCGCGGTCTGTGGAGACGGCTACTGAGCCGCAGCTGTACATCGTGCCGAGGAGCACATTCGTGCCACTTGTCCTTCATGGACATGAGATGCTGGCTTTAGTCGCGCTTCCTCACTGTGTAAGATCTTCACCCTGAAAAAATAAATTGTAAGAATGTTTTGAAAGTCAACAAAGTTTGGTTAATCTGTTTTTAAATGCATGACTTGAGGGGGAATAGTACCTACAGGGAGGTTATTTTTAAAGTTCAGTGTCACTTCATGTAATAAAAGTTATCAAAAAAAGCAAATTCCTTCAATCACATAAAAATTTTAAAAGATGAAATGTTGGAATTAGGGATGGGGGAAAGAAAAGCTATTATTAAGCAAACAATCAATAACAAATGCTAGCAGGGAAGTACAGAAAAAGGAACCTTCTCCACTCTTGGTGGAATACAGACTGGTACAATCACTGGAGATCAGTGTGGAGATTCAGAAAACTAGGAGTAAAGGTCCTAGTTATTCTGCTAGTTAATTAAGCCAGTTATTCTGCTTGTTTGTATCTTCATGAAGGAATGAAAAACATCATAGCACAGTGATAGATGCACACCCATGCTTACAGCGGCACAGTTCCTAATAGCCAAACCTTGGAAACAACCCAAATGCCCATCAACTGATGAACAGATAAAGATGTGGGTTTTTTTTTAATATAAAGGAGTACTACTCTGCCATAAAAAGGATAAGCTCAAGACATTTCTAGGTAAATGGATGCACTTTGAGATCATTTTCTTGAATCAAATAAATGAGACACACAGGTGTAAATACTGCACTGCTTCTGTGGTGTGAGAAACCAAAAGTGTAAATAAGGACCAAAATGTATAATAGCTATTGTGAAACAGGAAGAAAATGTTCAAGTGGGGAGGAGGACAAAGGAGGGGAGAGGGTGAAAGGAAAGAAGAGAAAAGTAAAAAATAATGAGAAAAGAAAGAAAAAATGGAAGCAAAGCTTCTATAAATGGGGAGTGGCGGAAGGGATGAAGGGAAGGGAATGGGCAAAAAAGGAAAGCTATATCATGTACAGATACAAGTTCTCTATGATGGACATGATCATTATATGCATCTAATATGTACCAATAAAGTTTGATTGGAGGGGAAAAAAGAATTAGGGCTGGGGAGGGGAAGCCTGGTGGTGGAGTGTTTGCCTAGCATGTGGAGACACTGGGTTTGAGCTCCATATTTCACACACACACACACACACACACACACACACACACACACACACAATCATCATCATCATCATCATCATCATCATCATCATCATCATCATCATCATCATCATCATCCCTAGAGCACATTTCCTTCAATTTTTTTCAAGGACTCCACAGTAATCACAATCATGAAGACAACACCTAACCTCTTTATTCTAAAACCTTTACAGTTTCTTCAACAAATCGTGCTGGGACAACTGGATTTCCACATGCATAATACTTAGACACAACAGCAAAAAGTATAAGCTACAAAGGAAAAGAAAAGATATGGGCTTGGGAGGTAGCTCAGCAGCATAAGTGCCTGCCTGGCAAGCACAAGGTCTGGAGTTTGATCCCCAGTACCAACAAGGAAAAAACAAAAGTAAATGACTTCATTAGAATTAAAATACTTCGTGCATCAAAGGACATTATTAAGAAAGTAGAAAGATAACTTAGAGCTTAAATAATCGAAGAAACTCTTGTGCAAATCATGTGCCTAATAAAAGTCTACGAATAAGTAAAGAGCTGGGCAGATGCATGCCTGTAACCCCAGCACTCAGAAGGCTGAGGCAGGAGATCACTGTGATTTCGAGACCAGCCTGGGCTATAAGGTGAGCTCAAGGGCAGCCTGAACTGCATAGTGAGACCCTTATCTCAAAAAGACAAAGAAAAAAAGTCTTAAAAATCAACAAAACAAAAAACAACACAGTTAACACTGACACACAGATACCCCCACCCCCTCTCTCTGAAAATCAAAAACCACAATAAAGGGTGTAGATGTGGTACTGCATGCCTGTAGTGTTAGCTACCCAAGAGACTGATGTAGGAGGATCACTTGAGCCCACGATCTTCGGTAAACATGAGCCACATAACAGGACTGTATCTCTTGAGTGAATGAATGAATATAACAAGTGCCTGATGAGATGCAGACAAATCCTCACTGGTGCGAACGTACAATGTTTCCATCATGGTGGAAAACAGTTTGGCAGTTCTTCAAAAAGTTCCACATACAATTTTCATATGGCCCAGTAATTTGACTCCTATAAAAAGAACTGCAAAATACATGTTCATGGCAGTGGTGTTCACAATAGGCAAAAGGTAGAAACAAATGTCCACTGAGGGATGAATGAATGACACAACCATGGTAACTGTGGTATACACAAACACAGGAATGTTATTGGACCATAAAGAAAAAGGAAGTAATGATACATGCTAAACTGTGGATAAAGCTTGAAAACACTGCGCTAGACAAAAGCCAGACATAGAAGTCACATAACATATGATTGATCTGTATGACACACCTGGGGTAGGTAAATCCATATAGACAGCAAGCAGCTTCATAGTTGCAAGGGGTTAGGGAAGAGGGAATAAAGGGAATATCTGCATAACAGGTTTAGGGTGCTCTTTGGGGTAATTAAATATGTAACTAGACACTATAATTTTGTGAGTATATTAAATGATTGTTACTTTATTTATTTATTACTTATTTTGCGGTACTGGGGATTGAACTCAGGACCATGCACTTGCCAGGCAAGCAGTTATTTTACTGAGCCATCTCCCTGTCCCCTAATTGTTATTTTTTTTTAAAAAATTAATGCTTAATTTTATGTTATATGAATTGCACCTCAGAAAAAAAGAGTCCAGGGCTGTGGCTTAGTGGACTCTTTGATTTGATCAAAGCCTTGGGACTGATCCACACACAGAACTAACAACCAACTTAAAGTGATGGACTACTGTACCAGAGAGGGCCTGTCCTGTGGGGACCAGTTCTACTCTGGGCTACTTCTCAAGTATAAAATCAGAACTATACATTTGGTTTTTTTTTTTTTAGTTTGGGTGCTATGGATTGAAGCCAGGGCCCCCACACATGCAAATTATGTTTTACCACTGAGCTACCCACCCCAGTGTAAAAAGTGCAGTTCTTCAATACAATTATTGGAGTAAATATTTAAGATAAATATAAGTGAAAGCATTCTGTAAACTGTAAATAAAAATTCAAATAACAGGTAGTACTATTAACAATAACTAGATTAGTACCATTCCCACTATCTACTTTTAAAATTTCCATAAATTTATCGATTGCTCTTTACAGAACCCATTTCAGTATTTGGAATCTAATATCATTTCACTTGCTTATAAGTGTATTACAAACAACACCATAGCTAATTTTATTTAAAGATGTACCAAGAAAATGATCAATAGAAACCCTACCTGGAGACATCTCTTAAGCATAGCCTCCCACAGACTGTACTCACAGGAGTTGCTGTTAGGTTCTGGCTTCCCAGGTTTGCTATGCCTGGTTGAATTCTGCTGAGATTTGTTCTGCTCTTCTCCAGTAAGGAGGGCCTTAATTTCAGAAGGGATTTTTCCTTGGTCCATTGCCATGCACCATTGCTTGTACTGAAATATATAAAATATGCATAAGTAAAGATGTTAATAGAGTTCAAGAAACACTCCGAGAAATCCTAGATGTGGCCAGCACCCACTCGGCTGCTGAGGATCGCACACTGCATGGTACAAACATTTGTCACTTAGGACTTACTTGCATGAGACCTGCCTTCCTTTAGAGGGCTGGAAAAAACTGCTGCTGATTCTTTTTGTGATGTAGGTTTTGGTCAGGTTAATCAGATTTTGTATCATTTTATAACTGTCACACAATTATTTCTACTTTCAAAATAAACATTCACTAAGCATCTACTGGCTAGTAGATATATACACTACTGTTAGGTGTGTGATGCAGGTACTGCACTATGGACTTGGAAAAAATACAAGACAAAATAGATGAAAGGTTCTGCCAAGTGGCTTAAACTACAGGAGGTAGGAAATCATTTCTAATCCATTGCAACTTTGAGGCCAGCCTGCGCTACATAGTGAGTTCAAAACCAGCCTGGACTACATAGCAAGACCCTTTCGGGGGGAAAAAAATTATATCATAGGATAAATTTGACTAAAATATCAGCTCTATACTATATATCTAGATTATATATGTATATATTAATTAATTAATTAATTTCACATCCTTCTTTATATCCCCTTCCCTTGTTTTCTTACTTTCTAAAACTTTGAGGTAATCGGTTTGGATTTCCAATTGTGGTAGTACTCCACCCCTGTCTTCTCCCATCTCTTACCTCCTTCCTAATCTTATAGCAATGGTATTTCAATTCTGTTTTATCTACTTTTTTTCATATTTCTCACCCACGAAGTCTGAATGAGGGAATTAATAAAGCATGAAAAATAAAGTTAATTTAACACAAATGTCAGCATACAATGCACAGTTACAGTACAGTGGTCGCTCACTTATCGCGGAGCTTACGTTCCAGACGCCTCCGCGCTAAGTGAAAATCAGCGGAGTAACGGCGTTGTATTTATTTTAATATATACATATACATTTTAAGGCTTTATAAACCCTTCCCAAACTTTTAGAAACCTTTTCCACACTTTTGAAAACACTTCTTCTAATGTTCTTAACCATTTTTTAAACGCATAAGCCTACGTAATTTTAACAACATACATACACTGTACAGTAGTGCAAAATCCCGTGATACAGCAAAAAATCCACAATAAATAATTTAGATGAATATATTTTGAAAACCTGTGAAACAGTGAATCCGTGGAAGTCAAACAAACACAGCGAGGGAGTGCTTTACTGTTATGCTGCTTTACTCACTCAGTATGTTATGAACAGCTTTCTCAGTAGAGCAGTATGTGTGTGCCCTGTGATTTTACTAACAACAAAGAAGTACAATTAAATAGAGTGTAACTAAGTCACCTCCCAGCGCTGCACCATCTGCATTATCCTCCGTCTCTCCCAGCCCACGACTTCCCTCAAGGACATGGTCACATCTGTTCTGCTCCCACATTCCACTACATATGCACTGTCCTTGCCTGTCTCCTGGCTCACAGATTAATATTCTTTCCATTGTTTGCCAACTGGATAGCTGACAATTGATAGCTTTAGGTTTTAATGTGCATTTCCTTGCTAAATGGAGATTGATTTATTTCATGCATGTACGAAAGGAGTTACCATTTCCAGCTCCTCGCGGAGGGCACAGATGGCTCTTTCCCGACTGGATACCAACTCTTCCAAATACTGGTATCTCAGCTTTTTTCTGGCTCGGCATTCTCGCGCGCTCTGCCGGCTCCTCTCAAGTTTCGCTTTCAAGTCAATTTTGGCTGGCTTTCGGCCGCGTTTTCCAGGCTTCTTTACTTTGCCTCCACCCACCTTCAGTAGGAGACAGAAGGAATTATTTTTATTCTCTTAGATTGCTAGATAGTAAAGTGACTAATATTGCATGTTAGCAAAGGGAACGTTTACAAATTATAAATAAGCGAAGGCTCTGGAACTGAGAAAGGATGATCCCATGCAATGCCTTCTGGATGTTTTCTTTGCTTTTTTCCTGATTCTTTCAATACTGCCAACAGGAGAGAAGGCATATAATAAAATTTGTATTATATAGTCAGTCATACAGTTTACATAGTTTAACAGTAAACTAAGCCATATGGATATGAGTAATAAAAACTCTAGATCATTTAATATTTACCTTGAGAAACTAATTACAGTAAAATAAGTTAAAAGTTATAAGTTCATTATAGTCTCAATGCAATAAAACAAAACATACAAGAAAGGAAGTTAACCAGGTGATGAGGAGTTCGCTCATAGGTGTGATTATGAACAGCTTTTGGCAGCTGGTGGGGGCACGGGTGCAGCATTAGCCCAACTGTATGTATGAGGCCCTGTGTGTGATTCCCTAGCACTGAAAAATAAAATTAACCGATAGCTTCAAAATTAACTGACAGGGAATTCACTATGTTGCCCAGACTGGCTTTGAACTCTTAAACTCAAGCAATCTTTCTACCTCAACCTCCTTCATAGCTAGGATTATAGACATATGATTTTTAAATATTTATAATTAGAAAAAATATAACAACAATGTAAGATTATATTTATATTAAATATGTATCCTAAACAACTTAGCTATAAATTTCCTTTTTTTTTTTTTGGTACAATGGGATTTATTGATGGTGTGCAAGGGCAGTGAGCCAGAGATCCCAAGGCCCTTCCCCTTCCAGGGGGCCTAGGATGGAAGCTGTGAGGGGGAGATTCTCAGTATTGGGGGTGAGTAGGCCAGTGACGACTTCTACAGTGTGGCCTCTCCATCCCTCTGGTCTCGCTGGGTTGTGGGGGGGGCACTTACTCCTTGGAGGCCATGTGGACCATGAGGTCCACCACCCTGTTGCTGTAGCCGAACTCACTGTCATACCAGGAAATGAGCTTCACAAAGTAATCATTCAGGGCAATGCCAGCCCCAGAATCAAAGGTGGAAGAGTGGCTGTCACTGTTGAAGTCGCAAGACACAACCTGCCCCTCGGTGTAGCCCAGGATACCTTTGAGGGGACCATCTGAGGCCTGCTTCCACCACCTTCTTGATGTCGTCATATTTAGCCGCTTTCTCCAGGTGACAGGTCAGATCCACCACTGACACATTGGGAGTGGGCACACGGAAGGCCACGCCTGTGAGCCTCCCGTTCAGCTGTGGGATGACCTTGCCCACAGCCTTGGCAGTGCCAGTGGATGCAGGGATGATGTTCTGGGCAGCCCCATGGCCATCATGCCACAGCTTCCCAGAGGGGCCGTCCACAGCCTTCAGGGTGGCATGATGGGGTGCACTGTGGTCATAAGTCCCTCCACAATGCCAAAGTTGTCATAGATGACCTTGGCCAGTGGGGCTAAGCAGTTGGTGGTACTGCTGACAATCTTAAGGGAGCTGTCATACTTCTCGTGATTCACACCCATCACAAACATGGGGGCATCAGCGGAAGGCGCAGAGATGATGACCCTTTTGGCACCACCCTTCAGGTGAGCCCCAGCCTTCTCCATGGTAGTGAAGACACCAGTGGACTCCACTACATACTCGGCGCCAGCATCACCCCACTTGATGTTGGCGGGATCTCGCTCTTGGAAGATGGTGATAGTCTTTCAGCTGATGGAGAGCTTCCCGTTCTCAGCCTTGACAGTGCCATTGAACCTGCCATGGGTGGAATCGTACTGGAACATGTAGACCATGTAGCTGAGGTCAATAAAAGGGTCATTGATGGCCACAATGTCCACCTTGCCAGAGAGAATAGCATCCCTGGTGACCAGGCATCCAATACGGCCAAATCCGTTCACTCCAACCTTCACCATCTTGTCTGGATCGCTGCTGGCTGCTCGGGAAGATCTGCTATCTGCGGACACATAGGAGCGCACAGGAGCGCACAGGAGCAGACAGCCTAAATTTCCTTTTTAAAGTTTTGTTTGTTTGTTTTGGCTTTTTGGGGACAAAGTTTCACTACACACTTCAGGTAGGCCTTGAACTCATAGTACCCCAGGCTGACTTCAAACTCATCCTGATTCTCCTACCTCAGCCTCCAGAGTGTCAGGATTACAGGTGTGCACCATGTCTGGCACCTCTTAAAAGTTTTTAAACTCAAAGGAATGCACAGGAAGTCCCTGAAATCTTCAGGATAGTTCTCTCCTGCCTTTCAAAGCCTGTAATTCTAAGCCTAGGCTGTCTCAGTAGATTTCTATATGCGCCTACTGGAGTCACAAGAACCTCCTCTCAGTATGTTACTCATTTACCTGCCTAGGCACCATATTAGGTGATTGGCAAAGTAACTTAATCTTCCCCATTGTTTAGTTTTGAAATCTCCCACTTTTTATACCAGCTGTAACTATAAAGATGATGAATTTTTAAACACTTGAACCTGAATTTATACATTAGGTAAATGTTTCCTAAAGAAGTATACTTAATCTAATAATCCACTGTTGAAACCATTTTTGGAAAATACTATTGGAGCCAGTTTTTACAAGCTATGATACAGTATGTCTCACTACATTAGAGCTAGGCATTTTTCTTAAATTTCCAAACAGTGTAGCTGCTCTACTTATTTGGCAAATTCCAGATGATGCCTAGCTTTTTTATGAAAATTGCCCTCAAAGAATGGCTGGCTTGTAGCTCCGTGACAGTGCACATGCTTAGCATTTGTGAGGCCCTTCATTCTACCTCCAGAACAACAATAAAAAGCAGAGGACTAGTGCATAGCACAGTGACACAGCACTGCCTCACACACATGAGACCCATGTTTCAATCTCCAGCACTGAAAAAAATAAAAAAGCCAAACAATAATTAGAGGCAGGAGATTGAACTAATGAAACTTAAGTAGTACTTGAGAGGCTGAGGCAAGAGGGTCATCCACTGAAGACTAGCCTGGGCCACAGAGTGAACCCAAGGATGGCCTGAGCTTGTACAGAAATTCTGTCTCAAAACAAAAACAAAAACCTTCAGAGAGTACAAGCTCTATGCCTTCAATGTACCAACAGGAATACCACTACACCTAAAGCCATTCATAAAGGAGAAAATGCACTTCTTTATGAATGTAAACATTATGTACTTCAGGCATGTATTAATAAAAGAAATTATTACAAATCATACCAAAAAAAGGCCAGATGGGGTAGAACATGCCCATAATCCCAGAACTCAGGAGGCTGAAGCAGAAGGATCACTATAGTTCAAGACCAAGCTGAGCTATGTAGTAAAGTCAAGGCCAGCTTGAAGTAAGTAGCAAGACCTTGTTTTAAAACTGTATATTCTAAAATACATATGCAAAGATTACATTTTCACATGAAAAATGACAAACACTTAGAAAGTGGTAACACAGTGCCAACATTGCTGGTGGAACATACAACATTGCTGGTGGATCAATCGTCTCTGGGCAGTATTTTGGCCACAGCTATCAAAATTACAAAAGCCCATATCATCTCTTTTAATGGAATTTTATCTCTAAGGATTTATTCCTTAGATACATTGGCACATATGGAAGGTGACATATGTGCTTATCCACTGCTGCATTACTTACAATAGCAAACGGCTGAAAACATCCAAATAAGGGAGACACTTGAATGAACTGTGGGGCATCAGTTTGTAGTAAAAAATAATTTTTATTTATTCATTTTTGTGATACAGGGTCTTGCTATGCAATTCGGACTCATAGTGATCCTCCTGTCTCAGCCTCCCCAGCACTGGGATTACAGGTGTGGGACACCTGGAGGCCAGCACAGTGGGCCTGGGATTCTGGGGATGGCTTGACATGTGGTAGTGGGGATCAAACCCTGGTCCTTGCACTTGCCAGGCAGGTGTTTAGAGTGCCAAACTATCTCCCCAGTCCCTAGAATTCTTTAAAAAGGAGAAAAATCAAAATCCAAATGTTAGCAAATCACTGAAATAAACATAGAAATCTTTTCAGGTAACAAAACTCAAAGGGTGAATTTTACTTGGATCTAAAAATTGACTTGCGCTTATTTAATAACTATTGACATATACAATGCCAAATATGACTCTAGAGATAAAATAATCACTAAGCATAATAGTAAGGGGAAAAAAATCTCAAAATTTCCTTCCTTCGTCTTTTCCCTCCCTTGCCAGGGATTGAGCCCAGTGGCTCACACAGACTAGATCAGTACTCTACACTAACAAGGCCACACTTAGAATATGAACGAGCCACATGTAGCAGGCCCACCCATACCCTGATGGTTAACCATGCATCCAGCACTGTGCCGGTGGCCGTGAGATGAGGCAGATGAAGGCTCTGGGGGTGGCAAGAGTGCGGGATCCTTTCCACCAGCATCTTAAGCTAGCGTTTCACTACCATCACCAAGTAAGTTTCAACTTCTCAAAAGCATTTCCATTCTGCCTCATCATGTTTTTATTCCAGTGTAATAAAAATTATTATTAATAATAATTAATAATAATTGAAAATTATTATTCCATTCTTAGAGTCTTCAGGAAGCTTTTCAGATTCAATTATGTGATAGCAACTGCAGGATGGTCTTTATCCACAACTTACTGATTGAAAAATGTTAAATTATGTTTATGTCTCCTTACAGTATTTTGAAGTTACCCTGCATTAAACCTACTATTGCTACAGTTTTTGCAAAGCAGCATATTACATAGTCCTAGGAATGTGGCTCAGCAGTAGAGCACTTGGCTAGAATTCATGAGGCCCTGGGTTCAACATCTAGCTCTACAAAAAAACAACCTCCCCAATATATTATAATATAAACTCAAGCTATTCTAAAATAAATGGATAGGATAATGACAGCTATTCTCTATGCAGTAAAATGAGTCATCAATCACACAATACTGTAATCTAATACCTCTTGTATTGTTGTTTTTAATTAATTCA